TTTTGCCTACTTGGTTATCTACATACTTCAATGCAATTCCATATACTTAGCTCATGCCTTTAGCCTAGAATTCCTTGCTTTGAAGATTAAATTCCAAGCTTTAATCATTTTCCTTCTGGGTCTCTAGTTAGCCAGAAAAGCCACTTTGTACTCCCAGAGATCATATATATTCCATCTCAGGCTGCTTCTTCTTTCACAGAAAGTGAATATGTGTACCACTCTGATAATATTGTACCCATTGAGAAGATTTTTCCTTTGCAATTGTCTCTCAAAGTCACTCTTGAGTGGGAATGTAACACAGCTGCCATACAACGTTTGGCTTGCACATGCTGAACCAATTTATCTATAAACTAAACTTGGGGATTTTTTCCTCTTTCACTGGATCATACAGGACTCCCTCTGTCTTTCCTGATACAACCAGAGGTATGATCTGGGGGTTAGATGCTGGTGAACTGTGACTGTTAACATGGGGGTCTGGCTCCCTGCTCACGCAGCTTGCTGTGCCCTGTGGCCCTGCTGATGCTCAAGCTTGGATGTATATTTCCATTTTATGATGGCTTGATGCTGAATCCTCATGACTTTACAGTTTGGCAGGTTCAGTAGGCTCCAGCTCATGTTGCACGTTGGAGATTCATAATCACTTTGGTGTTTCATACACAACCATTCCTCTCCTTACCATGGCTCAGTAGCACCCTAAGAGCCTTTTTCAAAAGGTGTGTATGTAATTCTCCATTGCAGATTGAATGGTATTGCTTCAGAACTCTGGAGAATGTCTACACTGACATTCTCCCAGCTGGGCTTGCCATAAACTCTACCCTACATCTCTTTTTCTTCACTGGTATTTCCATCACCATGATGTCTGCCAGATCATGTGGTCCAAGCTGCAGAGCGCTGTATTCCAGACCCGCTGCAGAGCCCTGTCTTGCTCTTGATCCCCCTTAAATATGGCAGCATTTTGTGCCACTTTGTTAATGGAATGAAGCAGTGTGGCATACGGTGTTCTGGAACCCAAAAGAAGCCTAGAAAGTGTTATGCTTCCTTCTTCTTAGTAGGAGGTATTAGATACAGCAATTCTGTTTAGGGGGAGTAAATGGGTATTGAAAGCAGAAATGCATTGGCCCAGAGAAAGGGTGCCTTTTGCTAACAAAGATGTTGTAAGCCTACCAAGCCCTGTGCCATTGGAGCCATTATCACCTAAAGGTGGAGCCTTTCCAGCCTTGGCTCTGTTATGCCCTGCTTTATTTTTGCTTAGCTTTAAAACACAAGCCTTGCTCCATGTTACTAAAAGCTGAGAAGCATTTTAAAGAAGGAAATCGCTAGACCTAGGCACAACTGAATTTAAGAAATGAGAGAGTGAAGAGTAAAAAATAACTCTTGAGTTTTTAAGATTGGTGTTACCGGTATCACTGAAAGGGAGGGAGGAAGGATCCTGTAGTGCGGTTGAATAGTATCTCCTCCCAAAATTTATGTTCACCTAGAATCTCAGAATGTGACCTTATTTGGAAATAGAATCTCAAGATGAGGTTATACTGGATTTAGGGTGGGCCCTAAGTCCAATGATAGGGATCCTTATAAGAAGAGGGGAAGGCACACAGAGACACAGAGAGGCGAAGGCCATGTGATGATGGAGGGAGAGGCTGGAGTGATTCATCTACAAGCCAAAAAAATGGCAAGGACTGTGGGCAGTCATCAGAAGGTAGGCCAGATGGATGGGACATATTTTCCCTCAGAACCTCCAGAAGGAACCAATCCTGCCAGCACCATGTGTTCAGACTTCTGGCCTCCAGAACTGTGAGAGATAAATTACTGTTATTATAAGCCACCAGGCTTACAGTAGTGGGTTACAACAGCCGTAGGATACTAATACAGATAATTACCTATAGTTTATTAAGAGCTTACTTCACTTACTCAGGTTGAATTGTATGAAATTGTCAATATTTGACTATTCCACCTAATAGTCTATATAGCTAACTTATTTCTCTCCCTCCCACATTCAAAAACACTTTTTTTTGGAGATATGTTTGTAACAACTTTTTCAAATAAGTCTCATTATTCTTATTTTACAGATGAGGAAGTTGAGAGAGAGGCTAACTTATTTGCTCATGGTCAGTAAGTCACAGAACTAGAAAATAAACGGGAAATGGTCAGACCCTAAAATTCATGCAGTTTGATCCTGGGCTTCTCAAATTGTAAGGCGTTGGAAAATAACCTAAAGATCACATTAGAATGTAGATCAGGATTCAGTACGTCCGGTGTAGGCCCTGAGGTTCCGCATTTCTAAGAAGCTCCCTGATCCTGCCAACGCTGTTGATGCTCAGCCACACTTTGAGTATCGAGTGTAAGCGTCCCACCGTTCTTGACATGTTATAATTGATAATATGACTCCTTTTGGAGTCATTATTATGCGTCCTAGTCATATCCAGGTTAAGTCACAATGAAGATGGTTGAAAACAAGAGGCTGGACTACCTTGGAGAAATGTGTGTGGGGGCATGGATTTAAAAATTATCAGCAAAGTCTAGATGGTGGAAAATGGATAAGCTTCCTGAGAGACAATTTATTCTATTTAAAAATGTTTATAGTTCATCCTTTTTTTTTAAAAAAAAATATTTTATTGATTTTTTACAGAGAGGAAGGGAGAGGGATAGAGAGTTAGAAACATCAATCAGCTGCCTCCTGCACACCCCCTACTGGGGATGTGCCCGCAACCAAGGTACATGGCCTTGACCGGAATCGAATCTGGGACCCTTGAGTCTGCAGGCCGACAGTCTATCCACTGAGCCAAACTGGTTAGGGCTATAGTTCATTCCTTTTTGATGGGATTGATTAAAAAGAAAAGAAAGCCCTCAATATTCTCTGCATAATGATTAAAGTATTTATTATTCATAACATGTATTCTCACAACAGCGTTTTAAAATGTGTTAACTGGATAAGTTTAAATGCTACAAACTAATGTTGCCTCATGGTGAAGTCAATGAACTGACCCATGAGCCTAATTAATAAAATTCTTACAACTAGAAGTTTAAGTGGGTGCTTTAATAATAATTCTTTCACAATAGGGTTTTGGGTTATGGAGCGACTGAAGAAACTGGGAAAAGATTAAGGGTGCCCACCTTTTCTATGGCCAAGAATGTATCTGAGCTCAACATTCTCCAGATATCTGAGATGCCCAAAAGATTCAGTGGCAACACTACATGCCAAGGAACAAGAAAGTGCAGGGGAAAGTGTTTTTAAATTTAACAAATATATTTTCTTGAGAATTTATATAAAATTCTGGGATTGGTCTGTCTTATGAATCAGTAATGAAATTCACATTAGACTTCGTTCTACTATAAAGGATTTCTTTATTTCATTTGCCATATTTTAAGAGCTAATTTGCAACGTATGCCTAAGTAAACAGAACTTACTTAAAAAGAAGAGAAGCAAAACCATGTGTCTGAAAAAATTGCACACAAGTACTTGATAGATTAACTAAATCAAACCCAGATGGACATGTGAATCTGTAGACTGTCTGTAGTTTTCTTGCACACTATTTGAGAAGGCTACACTATTAAAGTCAAGTAGAATATTCAAGGCCAGGGAATCCTATAAATGAAAATATGATTAAGAAAATAATAGATTGTTTCCATTGCATTGGCTAAGTACTTGTAGGGGCAGTTCTTTTGAGTATCATGACTTACAGGTTCCTCAGAGGAAACTAGCCATAGTACCCTGGCTTCTGGCTGACTTAGAATGCTGTTACTGTAGAAAAGTCAGAATTGTTCATTTGTGAGTAGTTTTATCTTAGTGAACTCATGCAAATTTCAAATATTCGAGATCTTTTAGATCCTGAAATCCATTATCCATCCATTATTACTTGATAGATTTTTTAAAAATAATCTTTCAGGAATATACATTTATAACCAAAGATATTTTTATAGAATATATACATATATCCTATTCAATAAATAAGGAGGGGAAACCAATCTGGAGGACCAAGATGAGAATGATTTCTTTGTAAAAACTCCAGGTGAAATCCTTTACAGTGATCTAATCATTTAATTCAAAAGGATCGTGATAGTAGCTAAGTCACACTGGAGTTCACTTATCTCCTTCTTGGTGTGCTATATTGTAATTATTCAATGGTAAAACAAATTATTGTAGAGAATTGTGATCTATGCATTAAATGTATTTGAATTCTTAAGGCTAATGACTCTACACATGTAAGGAGAAGCAAGTTGCCCAGATTGAAATGAAGATATCCATTGAAGCATCTGGGAAGTCACAAAACTGATAGTCTTCCTCTAAAGCAGAGATGATCTGTTACTATTTCTTTTTCTTCAACTGAAGTATGTTCTCCTGCAATTTAAAAATTCCAATGGAGGAAAAAAGATCAAGTAAATTTATAATGACTCTAGCAGTTGCATTCGGAAGGAATAGGTTGAATTTTTCTAGATGATGATAAATCTAGAAGTTAGAGTGATTTATGAACTATCCCAGTTTCAAATACATTCCACAGTAAAGTTTCTTTCAGTTACAAGGACCATGCAAGCATAGTCTCTTGGTAAAAACCTTTATGATGATTGTTAGAAAATTTATTAAATTCTTCAAATTGACTAAGCATAGAGCATTCTGCACTAAGACATTTTCTTGGCTTTCTGTTATAACTCCATGAAAAATCAAATTAGTTTTCACTTTGGCTAAATACTTCACCATTTGTGGTTGGAGGATGCCAAGCCTTGCTTTAGTTATTTTCATTTAGGGACTAAAAGATAAATTGACCCTCTGTGAATACGCATGTTACACACAGTATGGTTTTATTTCAATTGTTATTTTTTAAAAAAAGATGTCATATTTATACAGCAGCAGAAAAATATTAACAAAGAGAAAAATCATCCTTTCAATAATTTCCCAATAAGACACACCCAGCTGTCTAGCTAGTAGTGATCTTTTTAGTGATATAGTAAGGTGCAAGCAACTGGATACAGTATAAATATGTGAGCCATCTCATGCGCATTTTTTTTTATAGACCCAGCTTGGTTCCTCTCCAATGTCTCCTCTTGCAGTTGTACCCGATTGTATTACCAGTTTTCATCCGAATCCACTGGGGATTGGGCTGATTCTGCTTTTGTTTTGTTGCCAGGAATCTCTTGATCCTGAAAGTCTTGTGAGAAGACATGGCGAAGAAGTCAACCACACACACCACAATGGCAGAGGAGAGGAGCCTTATTTCAACTTTTCAAGTTGACATGCCAAATGACGGGGACAAGAAAATGATCAAGACCCCAGGGTGAGTCTTCATTCCTGCTCTATCTCGCCCATTCACTCCTCTACTTAGCTAATTTGAGTTGACCCCTGTACAGTTTTGCATACCATATTGCATAGCAATCATATGCTTACATGTATTTCCCTCACCAGAATATAAGCTCAGGATAAGAACCAGGCAGTGGCAGATACAAAGCATGGCTCAGCTCCTTTAAGGAAAGACTCACTGCAGTTAACTCTTTCCGGGTCTAGATCAGCATTCAAATCAAGGTTATCCTTTTCTTGGGGAAGCTTATAGTGAATGACTGAGCAAAGCAGGGTGGCTGAGCTCATACTCTCCTCTGGCAACCCTGGCTTATGAGCACATGAAAAGATGGTAAAAGGGCCTGGCTATCTGCAGGACTCCTCTCACAGCCCCACCCCAGGGCTCTCTTTGGGTTGGCAGAGTTTTGTCACATCTACATTGAGGTCTGACTCTTATCCTGCCTAATCTCATGCCCATCCCCTTCATTTTACAAGTGTTCTTTCCCATAAACTTTTTATTCCCAGTCAAGCTCACATCTGTTTTCTAGGGAATCCAGCCTAGTGTCAGAAGTGGTCCAAGAAAGCAGGCAATAAGGTGGATGTAGGAGCCAGCTTACTTACCCACTCCCTGGTTGGTAGTGCAGAATCAGTTCCTAGTTCCAGTTAGTGTACAGTCAGCTCTGGAACAAGGTAGCAGGCCAATGGATAAAGTGTTCACAAATAATGGGCTAGGATATGTTGGCAGAGGACAATGCAATGGTCAATAAGATGTTTTGGGCATTTGAAATGTGTGTGTGTGTGGGGGGGGCGAGGGGGGTGTAGGGGAGAGGTGGGGGAGGTAGGGGAGAGAGATGAAAAATACAATAATAATAGAATTGGGTGGGTTTTTTTTTTTTCTAAATTGCAGTGAAACTACAGATTGATAATGAAAAGGCAATCAACAAATTGAAAAAAAAGTGTAAAAGCTGGAGTGTCTCTTTGGTAGCTTTCAAAGAAGCCCTCATCTCATGCAATGGACTCACAGAAAAGGCTGAAGATCAAGTGTAGAATTTGATGTTCTGACTGGATAAACTTCAAAGATGGTTGGAAACTCAACCAAGGTAGTCATTGCTCTGGCTGGACAAACCCGAGTCCCTGACACATGAGATGAGGACATCTGGGAGATGCTCCTATAGATTTTGACTCTCCAGGCTGTTCTGAACCTTATGAAAGTGCAGAAGTGGCTTAACCTCCTCATGATGAGCCAGCACACAAGGGAGTTGACTGAGTGTTGGAATGGCCTACTGAAGGGAAAGCTGAAGTGGCAGCTCATAGGCAATACTCTGGCCCAACGTCTGTTCCTTCACCCTATCATTATACTTATATCACTTTCTTTGGCTGGAATAATAACTTGTTTTACATGTAATGACTGTCAGTATTATTTTATATAGAGTCAGGTAAGGAAATATTTTCTTTCATAATCTATTTTTTTTTCTGGAGTTACAACCTAGTTCTTTACATGAACACACACACACACACACACACACACCCTATTTTGGCAAGTGTACACCCTATTATGGCAAGTATACACTGTAATGCTTACTCTAATCTTTTCCCAGAGACCTACCACCATTTACTCGAATAACAGTGTATTGGGGAGAAAGTAATAACCAGACATTGTGAGGTATTGTTGGACCTAGGGTCCAAGTTTACATGACCCCCACAGACATAAAGCATAATCATGGCCCCCTTAAGAGGACACATGAGTATAGATCAGATAATAAATGAAGCTCTGGCCGAAGTCTGGCTTACAGTGAGTGTCCTTAGATCTACCAGGCCGTCATTTCTCTGGTCCCCAAACTTCACACACTTGGCAGTCGGAGTCACACTCACACCAACCAGGCTCAATCTTTTTTAACTCCACTGCAGTATGATACCCACCAGAGAACATGTGTTCAGAAAAATGCATGATGGATAAATATTGGCTACTGATTTCAAGCTTAAGGAAGAAGAGCTATTTGAAGCAAAATATACCTTTGTGGGGGTGGGAAATAAAGAGACTTCTTAACTTTATTTTTGTACTTATGGGAAAGGGAGCAAGAGAATTTTTCTCTAATTCTTAATTTATGGCATTCTTAACTGGTACCTTTAAAAAAATCATCAAAGTCTGGCTGAGTATCAAGAGAGACTTACTATAACTAGCCATGTACTATGACCAAAAAGGACAGCTTTATATTTAAAAACTGAGGTGGTTGATGGGACGGCTAAGGAGGAGGAAATGGAGGGAAGGGAAGTTTACAGTCCTGTAAATTACAGCTTGTAGCAGGACCATGATGCCTTGCCAATCTCGGCCAGAGAGCGAGTCAGCCAAGGGACCGTTACTCACACTTTTATAATTAAGGCTGCATTTTTGGTGTAATAAAAGGCTTACATTTTGGCTTGTGTTTCCTTATTAAGTTATACCGACAAGCAATTTATTTCAAAGGACAGCTGCCAGGAGAGCCCCTATGCCCCTATCATGGGACTTCAGTGACCCAGCTTTAAGGTTGGGGGGTGTGTAAGGTGGGGGGGGAGACAAAGAAAAAAATGCAACTTAAAGACCAAAAGCTTTTGAGGAGAGAGAAACCTAGAACTGAACATTGAGATACAAGACCTTCTATCCTTACCTTCGCCATTCAGATTCTTTCTTTACCTGTGAAGAGCAAAGTTTAGGACAGATGTCAAGAAAGGCTTTCTATACATCCCAAGAAACCAGACACACCAATCAGAAAGGATATATACACCCCTATGTTCATAGCAGCACGATTACAATAGCTAAGATTTGGAAACAGCCTGAGTGCCCATCAGCAGATGAGTGGATGAAAAAACTGTGGCACATCTACACAATGGAATACTATGCTGCTATAAAAAAGAAGGAACTTTTACCATTTGCAACAGCACGGATGGAACTGGAGAACATTATGCTAAGCGAAATAAGCCAGTCGGAGAAAGATAAATATCACATGATCTCACTTATATGTGGGATATAATGATGAACATAAACTGATGAACAAAAATAGATCCTGAGACAAGGGGCAGGGGAGAGAGAGTTAGAGATCAACCAAAGGACTTGTATGCATGCATATTAGCATAACCAATGGACACAGACACTGGGGCGGCGGGGGTCTACCCTTAGGGGTAGGAATGGCAGGGGAAGTGTGTCAATCGGGAAAAGGGAGACATATATAATACTTTAAACAATAAAAACAAACAAACAATGAGAACATATTGATAACCAAAAATCAAACAAACACAAACCTCTCTGATGCTTTGAATGTTGGACCCACAACAAACTGTAAGATTGTCCTCTCCACAAACTTTTAAAAGAAGAGTTAGTTATCTCTTAGGGAATGTGGAAGTATATAGTTTTTTTCCAAGATGTATGTTCCTGACCCATAAAAGAAAAGCTGAGTAACTGATCTTCATTCGGTTATTGACTAAAGAAAGCTTAATAGTCTAACATATAGGGGTAGGCAAAAGTAGGTTTACAGTTGCATTGTGACCTTTTTTTAAAAAAATATGTTTTTATTGATTTCAGAGAGGAAGAGAGAGGGAGAGAGAGATAGAAACATCAATGATGAGAAAGAACCTTTGATCGGCTGCCTCTTGCACGCCCCACACTGGGGATCAAGCCCACAACTCAGGCATGTGCCTTGACCGGACTTGAACCCTGACCTCCTGGTCCATAGGTCAAAGCTCAACCACTGAGCCATGCCAGCTGGGCAAATTGTGACATTCTTTATAAAACTATTGTAATAATCATAACCTGTATGTCTTTTTCCATACAAACTACTGTAAACCTACTTTTGCCCATCCCTGTATCTATCAGTATCTTTTATCAACTCCTTGACTTAATGGGGACACTGGCTATTGATTGGTCAGTCTGTTGGACCTCTGGTAGACTCTGGTGAGTGGCAGTCAGGCCTGTGGAAACTCCTCTGTGGGTTCCTTGAAAGTAGAGCCTATGTATTGCAATTGATCTAAGTCAATGTGGTCATACACAATTCCTAGGTTCTTTCTGGAGGATAACAGTAGCCATTGAGAAGTTGGCTACTGTGGATGAGAATTAGTTCGTTCTCGGCCTTGCTACTAGATCATAATGAAAACAATTCTCAAACCAAATTCTATAATATATGCAGACATTTATTAGCCATACACTGACTAGCAAGCGGATCCAGAACTGTACAGTTCTGTAAATTCAATGAAACCCCAGCTTTCTGTCATCTTAAGTGCCCTGAAATTTACCTTATCTGCTTAGAGACTGGCACTGCACTCCAGAGCAGGAATCTTTACTCCTGTTGCATTCATCAGGCCACAAAAATCATCATAACCAACAGGTAGACCTCAGACCATTTAGGGATCAAGCTTTGAGCTCTGCCTCCTAAGGTGAAGGCTAAGTCTTTGTTTGCTTCTATTCATGCAACAGTAGGGAGAGAGTCTCTAAAATATTTATAACCTTGCATTAGTTTCATCAATGATGTGTGATATCTAACATTCAACATTCATCATGCCAGCCAACAGTGTTAAACACCAGAGGTTTGTTTCTGACATTCCGGATGCTGATTAGCAGGGGTAGGTTGTCAATCTTGAGATTCAGACAACAGAATGAACTGTAGTTGCCCCTCTGGAATGTGGTTTGATCATCCCTGAGCTGATACATAATATTAAGATGCTATAGCTTCCTGGCCAGTGTGGTTCAGTGGATTGAGCGCCGTCCCATGCACCAAGAGATTGCTGGTTTGATTCCCGGTCAGGGCACATGCCTGGGTTTTAGGATCAATCCCCAGTAGGGGGCCTGCAGGAGGCAGCAGATCCATGTTTCTATCTCTCTTTTCCTCTCCCTTCCTCTCTCTCTAAAATAAATAAAAACAT